GGCTGGGAGGGGATGCTCAGATCTGCCAAGTGCTTTTTCCTGCGGAGGTGCTGCCTTTGTGCCGCCACTCGTGCAGCCAGGCAGGGAGAGCGTCGCCTCAGCATAAGCCACACCGGGACCAGCAGCAGAAGAGCGGAGCCGGAGGCGGCGGCCGAGGCTGTGGCAGCTCCTGGCATTGCCTTTCAAGACACATGAGCACCACAGGCACCTTTACCCAGGCTCTTGCAGCAGTAACCCCTCCTGAGTCTTCGCCCCACGCTTGTCACCGGCCTCTTTTCCCTTCCCCTTCTCTCGCCTTCGTCCTCCCTCCTCTCTCCTACAAGAAGGGTGTCTGGCCACCTCATCAGCCACAAGTAAGAGGAATGGGTATGATAATTACCCTCAGCTGCGGCCAAATGTGGTGTCCACTGACTTGCTGTCTTTGTCCTGTCTAATCCCTTCAGCACAAGAGATCATTAGGCAAATACTCACAGCCTGCATCCCCAAACAGAAAGCAAGGATATGAATTTTGAGCTAAAATTAAGCTGCCTGAGAGCACGTTTGATTTTCCTTTCTGTTTGCACTGTGCCATTATATTGCAGGAGTTAATAATATTTAAAACATCCCCCTTCTCTTAATACCACCCTTTACCGCACAAATCATCAGCTGCCTGAGAGTGACCACATGGCAACACACACAAAGAAACTTTTCTTTCATCTCCTTGCAGTCAATGTGAAAAAGACGACAACTGGCCGTGTTACAAGGACAGGAAAAGCTGGTGTGTTGCTGGCTGCTCCTGAATTTCAGCCGTGGTCTGACGGTTTTTGAAAGCTCTGCCCCTCCGTGCTGTGCCTCACCACAAGCCATTGAGTACAGCCTCCTATTACAAGGAGAGAGAGAGAGCATAAAAGCTGGGTTCAGCAACTGATCTGCCCGTGTGAGATACTCGCTATATCATCCCTAAGAAAACATACTGCAGCGTGCATGAAAACCGATGCGTACCCAGAGTCTCATTAGTTCCATGTGATAAATGCTTCGTGCTACAGCAAGTTGTTGAAAGTTTTTTATATTTAGCCCTGGAATTCTACTGGCTGCATCCCTTCACCAGATGCTGTGTGTTAATCTCCTGTTTACACGTCTAGGCTGACACTGGGTAAACCCTTGGGAGAAGGTTGCTTTGGGCAAGTTGTCATGGCCGAAGCAGTGGGGATTGACAAAGACAGGCCAAAAGAAGCAGTGACTGTGGCAGTGAAGATGTTGAAAGGTAAGAAAATTGGATGATTAGGGATCAGAATGGGTGATACAGTAGTTCTCATTCATGAAAAGTTTCTTTTGTGGCATCTGAACTCTGTCATCTTGGGGGGGGGGGTGTCAAAGAGCACATAGCTGACCTCAGCCTTCAGCAGTTTGGGGCGTAAATCTGCGCCCTTGACAGCCTGTTTGTCTTGAGCAGTGAGTATTTAGGAGCCAGGGGATGTATTAGCATCATGTGGGTCTCTCTGCTTTTAGTTTAGTTCATGTCAGAGACTGTCCACGTGTAGCTCCTAGCCCATTTGGTCCAGGTGGTTGATGCCTATTTATTTTGAATTTAATTGTCAAGTTAGTTTGCAGGAAAGGCATAGTTATTTGAGGTTTGACAGCTAAGGACAGCATTTTCATGCATATTACTGTGTTGCCTCTTAATGTACAACATCAAAGAGGTGGTCAGTCTATCAAAAAGGTTGAGACTATTTTTTGTTAGGACATAACATATGACTTTGTATAATACACTGGAAAACAAATCCCCTATTCTGCATTTTAAAGCACACGTGTTTTACACCAACTGGTGAGCCTTAGTGAACTTCAGGCTGGCACACTAGAAAATATGAACTGAACCTGTGTCTTGTACAGATGATGCTACAGAAAAAGATCTGTCTGACCTGGTGTCAGAGATGGAGATGATGAAGATGATTGGGAAGCATAAAAATATCATCAATCTCCTTGGAGCCTGTACCCAGGATGGTGAGTAGAGAAAAGAAAGTAAACCAGGACTTCCCAACAGGTCTGTGAAAGTCTCATTAATCATAATTTTTCAAGAGTTTTTAAGGAAGCAGTCATGCCGTGATGGGATTTTTAGATATTTCCCTAGCTTAGCGGCAATATTTTAACTTCTGTCTCTCATTATGTTTGCAGCTTTAATATGAGAAAGGGTACTATGTCATACAAAAACTCTCTAATCCCTTGCTGTAGGGGAAAAAAATGACATTTTACAGGGGCTTTACCCATGCCTGTTTTTCTGAATTGTTAGTCCTGCTTTAGGGGAGCTTGTATCCCATGAGTTTGAATTGAGCACTTTTACTCTCTAAAGACCACAGTGTTTTTATTGAAAGCTAATTATGTCATGTAAAGTGATGCAGAATGCCATAAAACTCTGGACGTTTAAAACATCTTAAGAAGCGCTTCCCCTTTGTTTGAGATCTCACGGCATTTTTTGACAGAAAATGCTTGCTTTTCAGTACGTGGCGTGATCTGGAAGGAATAGGCACCAGCTCAGGGTTTAGGTACTTTCAGCCACTAATTGTAGCTCTGCCACTATTCTGCTGTGGAGCTTTGGGCCAGTCACTTCGCCAGGTCCAGACCTCCCTTTCTTTCAAGTTGTGCTTAGTGATTTCACAGTTAAACATTTATTAATTTTGTTCATGTATTATAGAACACTAAAAGCTTCCATTTTACCCTTGAACCTTATCCTAGTTTTCACACGGTTCTGTTTATCTAAAGGTCCATTGTATGTGATAGTAGAATATGCTTCCAAAGGAAACCTGCGTGAATACCTGCGAGCACGTCGCCCCCCAGGGATGGAATATTCGTTTGATATTAACAGGGTACCAGAAGAGCAGATGACATTCAAGGACTTAGTGTCATGCACATATCAGTTGGCAAGAGGCATGGAGTACCTGGCTTCGCAAAAAGTAGGTAGAACTCAACAAATACTGCACAAAGCACATGGTGCATATTTGTTCAGCACTTCTTTTGGTTTAGTTTTGCTCTCATCTTGTTTGTGTTCAGGAATTTGCTGGGAGAAGGACCTTTCTCAAACAAGTTGCATAATCCAAACTCTTGGAAATCGGTGGGAAAATTCATACGCTTAAAGTTTTTAATCTCTGTTTAATGACATTGCTAAAATGAGGCCCAGAATGGATTGTTTAAAGTAAATATTGTGTACATATCTGCACTTTGAATTCATAAGCTCAGGTGGTCACTTGATTACACAAGTCACTTTACTCCATCCATGAAACAGCAGGCACCATTTGCCTTCTGTTTCCAGTCAAATCGACCAAACAGCTCATGTAGTAATGTAAAATAAATTGGTTAGTGAAAAGATTTACAGAATGATAACAGGCAGAGTTGAGAAGACCACAAGATGCCAGGGCGAAAGCTGTGAGCGGAAGAGGCAAAAATAAATGGAGTGAATTAGTCACTTAAATTTGGCGCTTTACTTAAAAACAGTGTTTGTCAGGAAGACAAGCTTGCTGAAAGAATTTATTTATCCTGCCGTGTCCCTAGGCACTTATTTCTTCAAATTTAATCAATTTTTTTTAACCAGTAATTTGATTAAATTATGTTATGAAACCTTAAATAGCCCTGTATAACTAACTCTGTAAACATATTGTGGCTTGGTGGACAAGCAGTCATGAATACCCCGGGTGGTGTTTGTACCCAGTGGCTAAACCAGAACACCAGATATTGATGATAAGCACTTCCTGCAAGGTGTGGAGTGGTTAGCAGGATTTGTACCGATTTCCAATCGTGTCCACTCCCAAGTATGGAGCTACTAACAAAAGACTAGAGCTGAGTGTAAACCTCCATTCCTGTTGTGTAGAGTCATAGGGGGTTTTTTTATTGCTTTTCTGCACTGGTAGAGGTTAGCAGGAGGGGGAATCGAGGTCTAATTTTGCTTTTATCCTTTTGTTTTGAAATAGTAATCCTCAGCACAGTAGGGTAGACAGGGAGACATGCATGACACCAAGACAAAATCTTCTAATGAAGTAAGCATGAGTATTGTATTAGGCAAAGCACCTTAGGATATCTCTTTCTAAGATTAATGAAACATTTGCCTGGCAATGAGCCATTTCTCAAGAAAATAGAGCTGTTGTGAAAGAGAAAAATAAATCAGTTGATTGGCAAATCTTGAGAACAAGTGTCCACCTGAGAAGCTCTGAAGTGCTGTTGTAGGACACTGCCAAAAAGGTGTGCGCTCGCGCAGATGCACATGGCAGAACGATTTCATCCTTGATACAGTTGCTTTACAAAAACACTTGATCAGTGCTGCGCTGAACTTGACAGAATGTGAGGCATTGCACAAAGCAGAGGGAAAACAAAGGCAGCACATAGAAAAACTGCGCATTCTGGTTCTTCAGCTATCCCGCCACTTCTGTTTGTATTTCACTAGTGATTTTCCCCTTAGGGATCCATTTACTGAGCTGGAATAATAAGAGAGCTGGTCTTCTTACGGTATTTCCTTCATGCAGGAACGGTGAGAAGGCCAGTGTTCTTGTTATTTCAATCCAATAAATGGTTTGCTGAGACCAAAAAAAACCAAAGAAAAGAAATGTGTAAAAAAGAATTTTGGGTGCCTACTTTTTGCCTTACAAGCAGTTGTACATTGGAAATATGATGTTGTTCTTAAGTGGGATGGGTGCTTTTTAAAATTCTGTTGACATCTCCTCTCCATCATTTCGGTACTGTGCAAGAACGGCAGGGGAGCTCCAGATACAGGGACTGGCCTAGATCATTGCAAAGGGACAGCAAATCATTAGGGCCAGAGGGTTGGCTGTGAAACCTGTCAGATACAGAAATTGATAATGGCACCATTTTGAAGATAGGAAGAGTCTCTGTTGTAAAACCGTAGGGTACAAGAAAGCAGAAATATACTGACAGAAGACAACAGGGTTTGAATCATTTGGTATATTCAGTCAGAGGTGTTACACGCCATTTGAGATGCTCTGTGGTACCCCCAGCCTGCCACTCAGGAAAGGCATGGGTCTGCTGTAGATCCTCTGCTGTAGATCCTCCGTTGTCCCTGGTAGTCTCATCAGGATACCTTGGATAGCACAGGGCATCTCAGATGACAATGTGTACTTCTATTTGGGCAGCTGAATTGAGCTCCTAGTAGGAACTTGTAGGGTTTGAGAACAGAGGACAGGGAAGAAGAGAACTAGGATGGAGAACTAGGTTCCTTGTAGGGTTTGAGAATAGGGACAGGGAAGTAGGAAGGCTGGCCTGTGTTGTTTCTGCTACTGTAGGATTGCTGATGCTGAATTAGAAGACTGATTTGACGCTGAAAGCATGTACTGTTGTCTGGTCCTGCACACATTAAAGCATTGCTGGAGCAGGTTTTTCCTGGCAGTTCCCCATGACTAACCCAGTGAGGAGCAGAAGCTTTGTAGGCTCATTTTACCCATGCAGGATGAGAGATCTCAGAAAATTGCTGGGGCAAATTATAATGCAAGAAAGAAATTGGCTGTTGTACAGTTTTTTTGTAGTGGTACAGACCAGCATGTCTATGCACATGCTGAAATAGATATTTAACTTGAAAATAAGTAGAGTATCCTGGGGGGCATAGAAAATCCAATGTTTCTTACCATGGCCTTGCTGCCACCAACCCTAATAAGGCTGCTTAAACACAGGAATAATATCCAGAGCTGTCCCAACGTCCTTTCAGTGTCAAGAATCCGTTGCAAGTTTTCAGGATAATGCTGACATGAAGGAAGAATCTCTGAGGAGATAACAGTTTTGGTTTCAGTATCAAAGCTGTTTAAAAAGCAAACAGCTCAGCCCAGATTGTGTTGGTTTGGTGTTTGGCGGTTTTTTTGTTTTGTTAAAATTACATACTGTGGATATATCTTATATTAAGATCTTTTCTATTAAAAATGGTTGCACTGATCCAGACTGTCAGGTTTTTAGCTCTGGTGAAGTGATACAATTTAAGAGAAGCAACTTAATAAACTGCCCATTGACAGTATTTGTAATGAAAGTGCTGCAATACCTGTACCTGGGCACATGTAATGGAGGATGAATCATGATCAGCGTGGCACAGTTTGGGTCACCACTCAAGCTTTCAGCCTTAGCAAAACATAAGTCTTTAAATAAACCAGGCTTTTCCAAGAGGCTTCTTAGGGCTGCTGTTCATCTTGGAAACACCAGCTGAGGGGATGGATTGCAGTAATTAAGACAATCATATTTCATAGGCTTGTAGTAAATGGATGGCTTTCCCACCTTGTGATTTAGGTTCAAATCTGTAATGGAGACTTAGTTATGGTGTAGAAATAATTTCACTTTTACAGCAGTTTTAGTGGGCCTTTTTTTTTTCCCCCCCCAGTGTATCCACCGCGACTTGGCTGCGAGAAATGTTTTGGTAACTGAAAATAACGTCATGAAAATAGCAGACTTTGGTTTAGCCAGAGACATCAACAATATAGATTATTATAAAAAGACTACTAATGTAAGTGGATGGTTTTCTTATCTCTGGAAAAAAGTTTCTTTCAATGATTCACTTCAAAACTATGGTTATAAACTTATGGGCTTCTTGTACAGTAGCCTCACTTTTCATCACAAACAGAAAACAGGGATCAAGGCCATAGCATTTCTGTCCCCTCTTACAGTGACAGTTAAAAAGATAACCAAAGAGGCTGTATAATGTATGCTTTATTAGAAATGCTAAATTACAAGAATTGGTTTTTGTGTGTCCCTGACTCCAATCACTTGAAGTAAGTGGGAATATTTCTGTTGATTCCAGCTCATTTTGTACCGAGCCTAGGATCTTGAAAACACTGTGTGAACAGTGCTAGCAGTAACTGTAATAAAAATCCTGTTTATGTGCAGTAATGCCACATACAGCTTTATGCCTTTTGTCTGTACTTTGCTTGTTAGGTACAACTTATGGTGGCAGTATCAAAGTGGGGCTAGAGGGTGAGAAAATTGATTTTTACTCCCCACTCTGTCACTGTTTTGCTGTTTAACCTGTACCAAATCAAGAAGATAAAACGTTTCAGGTGTAGTTATTGATGCCTACTTTGAACAGGTTACCCCTCCTTCTCAGGGGGATCACTTGGGTTTTGATGGGAACTTTGCAGAACTCATTCAGTTCCACAGACTTTAACATTTTGTATAAATATTAATTATTATTAACAATCATGTTAAGTGGCTCATCTATGAAAATAAAGCACTACGTGATTAACGGCATTTTAATGGTAATGTCTGCCTACTTCCAAAAGACAGAGCAACCAGGTATGGGTATGTCAGTACTGGAGGGAACTGAGCCTTCTTCATATCGCATTCAGTGCAATGCCTGGGCCCTGAGCAGAGCAGACTGTGTGCAAAGCAACAGGCACTTGTGACTGTGAGCTTTGGGTCACTGCAAAAGGTAGAACAGGAAAACAGAATTCTTGGGTTTAGGGATCAACTTAATTTTGGCAAGTAGGCCTATTTTTCAGATGATTATTGATTTGGGTTTTTTTGTCTTTAAAGAGCCATAGTGGAATGATCTTTTTAATTTTGATCTTCTTACCCTATCGTTCTTCTAGCAAGCAGTCTGGGAACTTTCTGGGAACCCTCAATGCTTTTAATTTTATCTTCAATGTTTATATCCATTTGTCCTAATGGTCTCACTGCTTTAGCCCATGTTACTATTTTTTCCCCTGAAAATTTTAACAATTACTTATGTGCTGGTTTGCATTAGCAGACTGTTCTCTGAGAACTGATTAATCTTTTTTAAAAACTGTAATAATCATCCCGTAAATTGCTAGCATTTTAATTTTTCTTCCCTTCCCCTCAAAACTTACAGGGACGGCTTCCAGTAAAGTGGATGGCTCCAGAAGCTCTGTTTGACAGAGTTTACACGCATCAAAGTGATGTGTAAGTGGCCTTATCTGAATAGAGTTTTGGGGGTGGGAAGGAGGGTTATTTTGGTTTGTCTTTGTTCAAGTTTGGGATATTTTAAATGTATTTCCTTGTTGTCCTTTACCTTTAAGTGTTTTCATTCTGTTTCACATATTAATAGATGGAAGAGGACTTGCCCTTAGAAAGTGAGGATTTTATGGTAGACTGCTAACCAGTGCTCTGTTACTAATCTGCCCAGCTTCAAAGCACATGAAAGGTGGAAAATGCTAACCACCTCCTGTCAGTGCGGAAGTTTCCCCCCTTGAACTTATTTACGGATGTGCAGCTACAAAGAGTCTATCTAATTTGCTTGGCTTTTGACATACTCTGGACTTCCTTCAGGTTTAAAAAAAAAAAGAGAGAGAGAAAAGAAAGACAGAAAAGAAAGTTCCTGAAAACTTCTTATAAAAATTTGTGCTAAGATTAGGTATAATAAAACATAGACTGGATATACTGGAAAAGTTTTCTCTGGTTTTTTGGAAGTGTTGTTGCTTCCCAGCAGTACTTCACATGTAGTAGGAAATCATTGGACTCTGACACTTCAAAATCTTTTAATGTGTGCACAGAGCTGCTGGGTGATGCAACCACTCAGGATTTATTCTGCTTCCTATTACAGTTTCCTAGGTCCATCTACAGTACTCGTGTGCGTTGTGCTTGAAGTAGATGTGTGTTTTTTATGCAATGCAGATGAAGATCTTATGTTTTTTATTTCTGCAAGAGAAGCTGTTAGTGAAGAGTCAAGAAGTAAAAGGGCAGGGTGGAGAAAGTAAGAGGCATCTCCTCTTTCTTTAACCTGAATGCACTCCCTGAGCTGCGGTCTCCTTAAGAAAAGCATTTGCAGGCTTTTCCTGCAATCTTTATGTTATTTATGAAGGAAAATGTATACATAGGCAAAGGGTGGGTCAAACTTTTGTTTTAAAATAACGTCTTGGCAAAATATTTAAGTGAATGTGAAGTCGACTAATTCCCTGTTTTGGGCGTGAAAGTCTTGAGCTCCTCAGCAGCCAGGGGGCACAAGGATTTCAGTGCTGAAACCTGGAGGCTTTTGGTCCCATGGTGGCTTTGAAGACAGCTAAAGGTAATAGTATTGTAAGTTTGTGCAAACAGTTTACTAAAATACTCTGCTGTAAAGCTAGGACAGCTTCAGAGACACCTGGGAGCTGGTGCAGGCTGTGTGCTGTTGCACAAAGCCACCTGCCAAAGAGCCCTAGGTTGCCAGCAAGGCGTGATGAGGCAGGCTCTGGAGGAGGTGGCAAGCAGGCAGGAAAACCGGTTTAAAATGATCCTACTTCATTTCTAACAAAAATTAATTATAAGAAATAGAAGAGCAGAATGATGCAGACAAGGGCGAAGAGAATGTGTTTGAGAATGTGCTCAGGTCAGTCCCTATTGCTGCCCATGCACCTGATGCACTTCACAGGTTGGTGTCCCCCTCAGGGCAGAGTTGGGCAGATGCTGGTTTAAGCCTCTCCTGAGAGGGATTGGCAGTCCTTGTGTCTGCCACAGACATCTGTTTTCAGTAGTAAGGCAGATCTAATGCCGTGTTCTCTTTCATTTGTAGTTGGTCATTTGGTGTGTTAATGTGGGAGATCTTCACATTAGGAGGATCACCCTACCCAGGAATCCCAGTGGAGGAACTTTTTAAGCTGCTTAAAGAAGGGCATCGAATGGATAAACCTGCCAACTGCACCAATGAACTGTAAGGACCCTTACTTGCTGTATGAGGATGGAAGGGCATAAACTGTACTGAACTCACATGGTTAATGCTACCCCTGACAGAATCAAACATTTTTAGAATTGCTTGTGAATATATGCATGTGTATAGATACCTAAAAAAAGGTATGAAAAGGCCTTCAGGGAATATTTGACAGAGGATACTTCTTTACACACCCTCCCATGATCCTATTGAAAAAAGAAGAGATCATCTACAAGCCAGTCTTTCTCAGTGTTTTTACATCTTTATGTTTTTTATTTTAATCTCATTAACAAGAAAATTCCTAGGTGGCACATGTACCACTAATCATATATATGGCACATCAGGCTGGTTTTATACACAACAAAATACATCTGGGAGCTTCTACATTAACACAGCATTATCTCCTGGTGAGGAGAGGAGAGTGTTTTCCCTTCCTGATATTTCAGTATAGCCATTAACTATGTTTAATTTTTTTCCCCATTTTAATTTCTCCACTTCACAAGACCTCAATACCTAACATGCAAGAATATTTAAGCATGTGTGATTTTATACCACTGAAATTCCTGGGACAGAAGGCCACAGAATTGGGTCCATAAAAAGGTAATTTAGACACTGGGCAAGAAAGATACAGGAGTAGAAATGCACCTTTGAGGGAAGTGAGAGTATTGTGCAATTTTGGGAAAGTCAGTGGTCCTTGTAGAGCTGTGGGTGCTTGCTGCTTTACTTGTGATGAAGAATATTCTCTGTGTATGAAAAGGTTTATGAGAAGGACGTGTGACTTTAATTAAGCCAAGAAAATGTGTAATTCTTACAGCTATATGATGATGAGAGATTGCTGGCATGCTGTGCCTTCACAGAGACCAACTTTTAAACAGTTGGTAGAAGACTTGGATCGGATTCTCACTCTCACAACTAATGAGGTAGGTAAATTGTTTCCCTCTATAAGCTGCTGATCAGGACAAATGGTTCAGGAGACAGATGGAATTTGTTCATTTATGAAATCCTGCTCAAGTTCTTTTCTTGTTCTGTTTGTCATTGTCCTCTGAGGTTACATGCAGCTAAACTATGTATCCTATGAAATCCTCAGTTTCTTGCCACTATGCCTTGATTCATGTGACCAAACAGAAACACATCTTTAAAGTGTTTTTGTTTATTTCTCATTGTGTCTTTTGATGTTTTCAGCATAGCAGTATCAAGGGACTATATGTGGCAGGTTGGGAGGCAATGTTTCAACATGACTTTCATGTGAAGGAGAGATGTAGGGTTTCATTTATCAACTCAGTTTGATTCCCAGGCATGATATCTAGGTCAGAAGAGGAGAAATCGTCAATGGTAGCTTTCAGATTATATGTCTGAGAGTGAATTAGGTTCACTGAAATAGCACTCTGTGGAGACAACGAGGACCCACGGGGAATGTGCGAACAGCCATCCAATTATCCAAAGGTCCTGCCTAACACAGCTTCAGATTGGGATATATGAATGCAAAAAGGTTTTATTTGAAGAGCATTTTTTCCGAAGTCTGAGATATTATTAGTTTTAGCAAGGAACACACTGATTAGGGTATTCACACAGGAATCGGTTCTCTTATAACTAAATCACGTGCACCTTTGAGGAAGATCACAAGTGATGGAAATGTTGATTCTTTCAGTGAAGACTTCTTTTGAGAGAAAATGCTTGGTGTTCCAAAAATATTTTACAAAATCCTATCATTTCTGAGAAATTATATATATGATGGGAGGGGAAAAAAAGAACAAAACCCTTACAGAGGAAAGTTGCAAGAACTTTTTTGACCATTTCAAAATAATTATTTTAGATTTGCCATGAATATAGCACTTTCTTGGGGGGTGGGTAGGTAATACAAAAAGATTTGGATTGCTTTATATTGGTCCTCAACATTACTTTCCAATTTTTAAGAATGGTTGGAGTAATAAAAAATTGATTATTAGGCATCATTAGGAAAGGCTGTAATGCAGTAGAGATGGCAGGAGAACTTGAGTAAAGAGATGCCATTTTTTATGATCATCATTTTCCCAGTAGATCCGGTTGAAAAAAAAAGATTTTGGCTTCAGTAGCAGCTATAAATTTATCTGGATTCTGTTTTGTAAGGTTTACTCTTAAGAAGCGGCACCTTCAGGGATGGCTCAGAAATGAGGCAGGAATATGTGCTCCCTATGGAGTTGGTAACACAGCTCTGCATACCGTTAGCATTTTCCCCTCATCCAGTACTGACTGCATCTTTTCCTGCCTAATTTATATTTGATTTCACAAGATCGGTTGGAGTTGGGCTGGCTGCCACTGTGGAGTGCTGGGTGGCTTGGACTGGATATGCATTTGAAAATTCAAGAGGGAGGTTCTGGGCTGCAATTCTGAGCTTGGGAAAGAATATCGCTTTCTTTTTTGTGTGTGTTTAACCATCTTGCCTTCCCAATTGTGTACTGCTCATGGACCTGGAATGATCTCAAAGGTAACCTGAAAAGGCCTTTAGGGTTATGTAAATTACTTCAGACTAGAATCATAGGAAAAATGGCTGGAAAAAGCTCAGGAACACATCCAGTCCATCTGATCATCCTACGGCAGTATCCACTATAGATTTGTCATTCCTGACAGATGTTTATGTAACTTGTCCTTAAAGATCTCCACTGCTGTATTTCCGCATCACCCCTTGACAGTCTATTGCTTTGTTTCATTAGCCTTACTTCTTGAAAAATTTTCCTAATCTCTAATCTCTCAACATAAGATACTGCTTTTGTCCTATTTACCCTGGATAAAGAAGGCAAATTATTTCACTTGTCTTTGCAGCACATTTTATGTTCCTGAACACTTGTCATGTTATTACTCGGTGTCTCCTGAGAACTCCAGTGTGTCCCACTTTCATCCATAGCTTGTGCTTTTGGAGACCTCTGGTTTTGTGTAATCAGGACAGTTTTTCTGAAGCGCAGGTCCTTCAGGCATCAGTCTGACAATGCTTCTGCTTATCCACTCTACAATGGCATTTTCCCTTTCCTCGCAAAATGACGCTGTTGATACAGGGTCAGCCTGGTTTGCCCAACAACTAAAAAAATTGCTAGGACAGCCAATAATATCTTCTTTTGCATTTGTGCAAGCAATTATTTCTGCTTAAATGGTAATGTTTTGCTTCTCTCCATGCTGAATCATCAACTGTTGGGTTTTTTTATCGGTCTTTTGTTTGGGGCTGGGAGTTGTTTTTTTTATTTAGCTGAGATTTTTTTCCTCCCAAAGGACCCCCATTCCCCGTGTTTCCCAGAGTAGCGTGCAATGTTTCCCCAATCCACATGAGCAGAAGTCACCAAGAGTCAGCCTCATGGCTGTGTCTTTATATCAACACCAGGAACCATCCTGACACTGGAAACTTCTTATGTGCCTTTATGTGACTCTGGCCCTTGACATTGGATAAGGAGGCTGGAGAGAGGATAGGGATCCCACCACCTTCAATACTGAATTCATAATTGAATTGTATCAAGCCTTTTGAGCTACGCCCGATACCCCATAAGAAAGCCCTGTTTCTTCAAATACTGAAATACTTCTGTCTGTCTAGAAAGTGGTTGATCATTTCTGGTCACATAGGACTGGTTTGCTAATAAATAAATAAGGGTCAAGATTGTCCTCATGGAACTTTTAAAAAGCCCAGGCAGCAAGATAAGCAGTGATCGCAGATCTAAACTGCCTTCTCTTGCTGCCTACTGTATTTTTCGGCATTTTAAAACTTAAACTCCCCTCCCCTCTTTTAAAATGGTGACCATTTTTTTAACTGTAATGTGGTAAGGATTGCGATTCTGACTTAAAAAAAATGTTAACTGAAGAGCTAAATTACCCCAAGCCTAAGCATAGCAGCGTAAAATACTGACTGAGGTGGAAGACTTGTCTCGTCAGTACGATCATAACTTGTGGTTTAGCAAATGAAGAGATTGCATTTAAATGAATGCAGCTGCCTTTAGAAGTTGAAAGAGAAGGAACATTTCAAGGGGAAGAATAACTTTATTCTCCTGCCAAAACTGTTGTTTCTAGCAAAAGAGCCTTAACCCAAAACTTGGATTCAGCAGATATTATTTCCTTTTTTAATGACTGCTTTGGTCATGGCTACTCTGGGACACACACACACACACACACACACACACGAATATGTAGTGTAAAAAACGTAAATCTAGTGAATTTAATTTTGTTTTCCTTTCAGCTCTTTTTTGCACATATGCCACTGCATGTTTAAACACAGATTTAATATCACAGAATATAAAACAGATATTCAAACTGACCAAAGGAATATAAAGTTGGAAGTATCTTTCCCTCTCCAAATCATTACCATGTGCTAAAGAAAAATGGTTCTATTTAGGATGAAATTTCATTTTTATCATTGCGAGTGAAAAGTCCTCTTTTGATGTGGTTGGCATGTTTATTTCCACTGACGCGGCTAATGCTGGTGATGTTGGACTTCAGAAAAGTACCGTGTTATTGGTTTGGCTTTTCTTTCTCTATTCAAGCTCCTTGTTTTATGAGACATTTAAGCGACAGGCAGTTTTGAATGCAATTGCGTTGCAGAAATGCATGTCATTTTTAAACTGTTCTTTTACCCACTATATATAATCAAGCCAAGTCAAAGCAGTGGTAACGTGTTATTGTCAGTTTTACTTACTGTCTAAAAATGCAATTTATTTCTTTTGTCGTAGGAGTATCTGGACCTCAGTGGACCTCTTGAACAGTATTCACCTAGTTACCCTGACACGAGGAGTTCGTGTTCTTCAGGTGATGACTCTGTTTTTTCTCCCGATCCAATGCCTTATGAACCTTGTCTTCCCAAGTACCAACACATGAATGGAAGTGTTAAAACATGAAAAGAAATCATACAGAGGAATAAAGAAACAAGAACATCAAGCTACCTACCATATACAAAACAAAACCTTTTCTCCAGGACTTTAATGTTTCTGCTTGTACATACGAAACATGGAATTAAAAAAAAAAAAAGAAAAAAAAAAAAAAAA